GCATAGCACGCATAGCACGTTTGATTTTATCAGTGAAATCAAGGACTCTTTTAAAACGTTCATTGCTACAACATTAATTACATGACCTTTTAGGTCAAGTTTATTTTAGTCTCAAGAGAGTTTGGATATTTTGAACTAGACTCTTATTAGGCCGTGAGTTCGGCTATTTTGGAGAAAAATTAAGAAATATATATTTTAATCTAATTACACGTACCCTGCTATGCAGGGGGTACGTGTAGTAAAATGCTGACACTTTCTTGGTTTTTCTTTTTTCACAATGTCGAAAGTTTGGCTTCGGTACATCTTCGTAGCCAATCACAYTGTGAATTATATATCCGGTAGCCAATCACATTACGTTGAAAGTTATCCTTTAGCAGCATAGTTGAGTAATGAGATGAAAATACAAAGTGTAGCCGGAGCCGCTAAGTGTGTAGATCGAGTTTACAACAAAAATTACATCAATCACATCAACACATCAACACCAATCACATTACGTTGTGTATTCCGAACGCTATAGCCTGTCGATAATCCCCTTCCCAACATTTCCAACTCGTTCTGCACAATGTTTTATCCGCCATTTTGATGAATATTGTCTCTACTAACTGGGTGATTTGAGAAAATGCGACTAGCCAATCAGCGCAAAGCTGACAAGCTTATGTTGTAAACATAACCCCACGACGGGAGGAATTTGCACAGCAAAACTCGACCCAGTGGAGTAGGCTGCCTGCCATTTTATTCTATCCGAAAAGTCAAAGCTAAAACGCAAAGAGAAATTGAAAATCTTTATAAAAAAAGCTTTTATTAAATGTTAATCAAATATTTATCGTTATAGAAATAGAATTTTATCTTAAAAATTAATAATAAGTAATGTTTTCTTTAATACCAAGAGCCTCCCCTCCCTGATAAAAATAATTGGTCTGTGTTCTGCGCGGGTTCTCCATTGCATGCGAAGCAATGGACGACTTCACGAAGACTTCAGAAGGTCGTTGAAGCGAAGTTCAAGTCCAAAGTATCATAGGAGGAACTATTGCAAATCCTTTTTCTTAGCTCTTGTTTCATCTAAGTTTTGAGGTATCTACAACATCACTGAAAGAGCTAGAGCAGCTTAGCTCCACGTATTCCAATAGAGTTAAAGCGTTTGTTATTTTTGGTAGTGACAACAGTCGTAGTTCATCCTTTGCGGCAATAAGCCGTAAGCGTGCTCGACGATGACAACAGGTTGACGTTATGTAACAGGCCGGTTACACATTTACTAGCTTTGACCTTACAACGAGAGCTAGTACGGTGACTGAGGTTTTTCACGTAATGTCTTGATAGCGACTGTTTATGTTGAAACGACTCAAAACAAAATTCCATCGTGAAAAAGTTCGACTAAATTCCCTTCTGAAAAACACGTGTGTATTTAAGGTGGAAAATGTTTGATATGAGCATTCAATTCTTAAAGGTTTAATTCTATAATCATTTTGTTTAGTTATGTAAATAAATATAACACGACTTGTACTGTTTATCTGAGTGGATGGAGAGCTGCGGATTTTCCCTTTCCTTTATTTACATTTTCGAATATGACCGCTTAACAAAAATGCACGGGCTCACTGGCTTACAACCTTGGCGAATTCATATGCAGGCCTGGTCGCAAATCAATCACCCAGAACGAATATGGAACAGAACATGAAGGTTTACGACCAAAATCTGGAACTCATTACTTGTCTGGGTGTTCGGACCAAGGGTATGTTGAATTGTGATGACGAGGAGATCTCACTACAGAGATCAACACGCTTAGTACTCGTGAAGCAACGGCAACGATTATAATGATCGGGTTCCAATGATTGAATATCAATACAACTCTTTAGAAAATGCTTATTATCATCATTATAGAAGGCCAAATAATAAACTGCCCTCATAAAAACACGCACCTAGCGGGCCGATAATGATTTTGGCGGGCTGCAAATCTTTTCGTATCAGCCCTGTCGCTGATTGGCCCAACGANTGGGTTATTTAAGTTATTCTAAGAATTTGTCAAACCATGCAGTTTTCTAATATATGAATGTCATATTTTAAGGTAGGTTAGAGCAAATTGACACAAAGTCATTGAATTGAAACCCAAGAACCGCTAAACAGGGCAAAAAGACTTTGAGACCATAAAATTCACAAATTAATTGGCACATGACGAATTCACTACAAAACCACTCTGTCGATCCTTATTTGTACACACATACCTTTCCTCGAAGGTTTCAAAGCTGTGACGACTAGTATGCTGTAAAGGAATTATAGACAATACGTCTACAGAACTGGGGATCTTATATCTCTAGAAGTTAAAGCTATTGCCCTCCCTCCCCTCCCCAAGTGGAATGTTGTTACTCTTGATGTAGTCCATCACATAACTAGACGCCCCTGGGGCGTGAAGTCGGACTAGCTATTTTTGAAAATTGATAGACACGAGTGAAAAGATTATGATGTTATGTTCTGTTTAATCATATGATTATATTATGAATGCAAATGAAACTTGAGAAAAACAGGAGGATATTACATAAAATAAATTAGATTAAAATATATATTTCTTAATTCTTCTCCAAAAAAGCCGAACTCACGGTCTAATAAGAGCGTCTAGTTCAAAATATCCCAACTCTCTTGAGACTAGTATAAACTTGACCTAAAAGGTCATGTAATTTATATAGCAATGAACGTTTTAAAAGAGTCCTTTCTTTCACTGATAAAATCAAACGTGCTATGTAGAGATCTGAAGTGACGCTAAGTCACTAAGTGATAACGTTGACCTCTCAGGCCAAGAAAATACTTTACAAAGTAAATGATACCTATAAAATCATTAAACTCGCCTTTTTTTTATTGATAAAAAATGTTTCTTCTTGTTCTAATTTGAAATCTTTGCCCACACAGGACTGCCTAACGCTAGAAAGGCCATTGATTTAGTTTCGAAAGCATACTACTCGAAGCACCAAGCGATCTGCACATGCGCGAACTTATGATACCTAGACTGATGCATTCCGATGAGATCACAGATACCACATTTGTAAACGAATAGTTTTTTTGTCATATAAAAGCGCGAGTAGTATATAACATTTACTAACGATATTCGTACATCAATACGTTTGAGCTTCCGGTCATGTAATAGCACAGCCAACCCAATAGTTAATTATTAAATTCTTAACTTCCGGTGGTCCAAACGCGACATGACACATAGATAGATAGATAGATTGATAGATTGATAGATAGGCTAAAAGGTAAAACTAAAGTCGACCTAGCCTTTCATTTGCATTCATAATATAATCATATGATTAAACAGAATATAACATCATAATCTTTTCACTCGTGTCTATCA